TCTCTCTCTCTCTCTCTCTCTCTCTCTCTCTCTCTCTCTCTCTCTCTGTCTGTCTGTCTGTCTGTCTATCATCTAATCTATCTACTATTATCCAGCTATTTATCATGTATTTTTCCATAGTTTGTATTACCAAACTAAACAAATTAAAAAAGAAAGGACAAACGCATCTTTCAGTTCCAGATACTATATTATTAGTTCTAAGAAAGCCAAATCTTTCTAATCTTAAAATTGGTCATTAACAGACCTTTGTGTCTGTACTATATTCCTTGTGGGTAAATTTTGGTCATTGCCTGAGGTTTTATTTTAGGTTTTTGGCGTAAATACAGTCCCTGAAATGAATACATCAAGCAAAGCCTGAGCTTCTTTGGAAGCAAATAAAAGCAGAACATGTTAAAGTGATTGATTGTTTTTTTTCTTTTTCTTTTTGAAAACCTATATTTTCTGTGGTGTTTAAAATGCAGTTCCTTAAATGAACATAGCAACCATTTCCTATTTTGGGTGATTTGTAGAACCCTTTGAAGGAAAGAACTTTTTAAAATGACCATCTGCTTTTTGGAAAAGGAAGTCTCATTTTTTTACAAGGTTTAAATGCTGACCTATTCAAATCTAATGGCTACGAATATCTATATATAAATAAAATACGATTGGCCAACTTACCAAAAACAACGGACTTCCATTCCCAGAATTGCCAAGGTAGAAAAACATGCCTCATTAAAATTGGCACTGCAGATCAGATACTTTAACAGATTAACAGAGTTGGAAGAGACCTTGTAAATCATCTAGTCCAACCCCCTCCTCCGCAAGCAGGAGACGCTACACCATTTCTGACAAATGGCACTCCAATCTCTTCTTGAAAGCCTCCAGGGTTGAAGCTCATGGATTTGTGGGAATTGAGCTGTAATTGAATATGGTGGGATGGAACTCTGGGCATGTGCAAAGTGTATTTTGTAATCAAAGTATTTATGCGCAGTAAAGGCCTGGTGTTCAGGGCCAGGAGTGGGGAGTGAGGCTAACTTATGACAGTAACAGTAATAGAGTTGGAAGGGAGCTTGGAGGTCTTCTAGTCCAGCCCTCTGCTGAAGCAGGAAACCCTATACTATACTGGAGAAATGGTTGTCCACTCTCTTCTGAAAGCCAGCTGAGTAATTTAGAACTAGTCCTTTTCTCTCAATCACAGGAAAGAGGAAGAAAGTGTATAAAACATATAAGGAAGAGGCATCTCATCTTAATTCCCTTCTGATTATTTTTTGCAAATGAACTGTAGAATGATTTTTTTTGTTCCAAATATTGGTAAGCAAATTTCATGGACTATGAAGACAGCAGAAATTAAGACTGCAGAAATTCAGGGGGCCACCAGAGGGCAGTACAGCGATGCAGAAAAAAATGCTACCACCTAGGGGTCATTAAAATTCTTGCAGCAGGACAAAGCAACTTGAATAAAACCTGATTTGGGATTGATTGGTGGGAGATAAGCAAATATGAAAATAAATAAATGCAGAATTTATTTACTGACCTGGGCTGTCCCTGTGAGTTATCTTAAGGGCAAGCTTTGGCTTGACTGTCTGGTTTCCAGATGGGGCCCAACCATTTTGGGGCTTTTAAAAACAAATTGGGAAGCGTGCAATATTTATGCAGCCCTCATCACGTTGTGCTCAACTGCGTTTGAGAGAATGCAGCCAAGTCTTGTGTTTGCATTGTTGCATTTCTTTTTTAAAAAATTATTATTATAAATTTTATTGAATATAAACATTAAAAAACAGTGAACGTGGTGGTCGTCTTTGACATACATATCTGTCAAAATATTTTGCATTTAGAAATTGGCAAAAATATACCCTAACGTGAGCCCAAAATGTTGGAAGTGCAAAAAAGTTGATGGTACATTTTACCACATGTGGTGGCTGTGCCCCAAGACCAGGACATTCTGGACCCAAATTAAAAACTGGGTATAGGAGATTACAGGTCACCAGACTGAACTCAGACCAGAAACCTTTCTTCTAGGAATTATTAAAGAGCGAATTCCAAAAGAAGTAAAATATTTATTGT